AGATAATGATTCTGTGAATTGAACTAACAAAAGGATATAATCCGAACTTCTCACCTGCAAGATCTGTGTCTCCACAGATTAGGAGTACCCTTGATGTGGACAGTAATCAGTACTTGTCAGAGCTGTTGGCGGAGCATCAAAAGCTTGGACCTTTCACTCAAGTTCTTCCCATATGTACCAGGCTGTTGAATCAAGAGATCTTGAGGGTATCTGGAATGTTGCCGAACCAAGGTTTTGGTGAGACATAGAAGCCCCAGTCCTATGGCTTCCACAAATCTAATGTCAAATGTTGGTGGAGCAGGATTGGGTGGTTGGAATGGACTTCCTCAGGAGAGGTTAAGTGGTCCCCCTGGAATGTCGATGGATTGGCGACAGGTAAATTGCGTGAGTTAGCCATGCTGAATTCAAATTTAAGGGAAGAGAGCCCCGGGCCAAGTGGCAGCGTGTCACCTTTCAATACTAGTGGAATGAAACGTCCCAAGACTGGCCATTATAAATGTTGATGAAACCTGCCATCATCGATACATCATACATGAAGAGGAGGTTCTGTTTCTGATTTACATAGTCATGGCTGGCTATTATACCTTTCCATCGGTTCACCGCTTATCTGCACTGTTACCTGAAACCAAGAATATATTACGAGAAACATACCAAGTGGTGGGGGGCCCTTGCGTGTGGGATTTTACTTCTCTTTACATCTCAAATAGCATAAAACAATGGGAGTACAGAGGAAGGGACATAAGTTGTTTTTTTTTTTTTTTTTTTTATACAGTTGCCTTAATTTATAAGGTTGGTCGTGCGAGTTGGAGTTTCGTGTGGGTTCTTGTGGAACTTCATTCTTTGGATTTATTTGTCATGTTAGTAAATTGTAGTGTGAAATATGCTAGCAAAATTACTATTATTATTGTTATTAGTTCATTGTAGAGGGTTAGTGGGTTTGAAAGCTTGTAGCTAATACCTTTTGCCTTGTCCATTATTTTGTTAGTGAACTGAACAATGATGATTAATATTTGTTGCTTTAATTTCCTCAAAAAAAAAAAAAAAAACTAACAAAAGGATGAGGTTACAATACAGATAATAGAAGAAGACCTATAAACTAGGCTAAGGAACATATAACAAACTTAGACTAATACAAAGACTAATAATAATAATAATAACAACAATAATAATATATCTAACACCTATAAAATAATAGGATCGCCCATGGACGCTATTAATATAATTTCTTTCCCCAAAATTTCAAATATTAGAGATTATTTTATTATTTACCAAAAAAAAAATGGTATAGACAAAAATATTTTACTACACATTTAATAATGATGCAACATATGACTTAAGTGTTTTTTTTCTTTTTGTGATGAAGAAAATTCATACATTCACTATATGAGGGTGTGCAATAGATAAATCATGCTCTAGCACAATAGAGGTAAACAACACTAAGAAGACCATTGCAGTGGGCATGATCAATTAAGAAATTTTTGACAAAAATCAAACACGTAAATCATAATCTTCTGCTCTCAGAACCATGCTCCACCCACTTGACCACCCCTTTCAAAATAATGTTATAATTATTTAATTCATATAGCATGATTCTTTACTAAATCAAAGGGGAATTGACACTTTGAATCTCTCATTCTCTCATCCCACTATGGTGTAAATTTAATCATTTAATTATTTCTTACATATATTTACTTTATATGTTTTTAATAGAGTGACAGATTAAAGTAACCCGGTCTTGCTTTAGGGTTTTAATAATAAGGACCCGATGCATCACTTCCATCAAAGCTTAGAAACTAAATTTGTATAACGAATAATTAAGAGATGATGAGTGATGGAACAAATTGGCTCTAGGTATGTATGAATCAAGTCCGATCTGCAGTAGAATAAGGGTAAAATAGTAAGGGAAATAAATTGTAATAGTATTTCGTTGATTGACGTAGGAATATTACAAAGAATGTCTTGTAGTAAGATTGGACATGATTTGTCTAGACCAATGTCATTTATATACAAAGAAAAAGACTTAACCGATCCTTAAAAATCTGACAGGCGACGGGCTGGGACTAAATCAAAGTCCCCAGGGCGAGCTACATGACCCAATCAAAGCTCACCATTCTGACCTGAAGATGGACTCCGAGACGAGAATGGTTAGCTGCTCGGGGCCGACTTTGGAGGCCAACCCCGGGTTGTCTTCTTGGGTCCTGGGTCCCCATTCTTGGGTGATTTCCAGAATTCTAGTACCTCCATCAATGAGTAAATTATGAATTTGTCTATCAACTATAATGATTTCGTCATTTTACACATCTAACTTCCTTTTTTTTATGACGAGGAAAACTCGCAACCACTACCCAATGGTGTGCACTTGATAAACCCCGTCTTGTAACACTAGCCGACAAATGATCACAATGAGGTAAATCAGCCTAGGTTGCTCATAAATATATATAAAATTTAAAACACATAATTTGTCTATTACGTCGAATGTTATTATTCTTTATTTCTTTAAAAAATATATTATCAAAAAATTATTCATAAATATTTCTGAATGTATATTGGAGTAAATAGTATTGCAACATGTTTTGTTCACCCACATAGAAATAATTTTTTATGCCTATATTAACTAATGCTTGTAATACAATCAATAGTATTCAAAAAAAAAAAAACTAACGTTGGTTAAATCCTTTCCGGCAACTTGTCAGCCGTGATGGCCGGATTTTCCTTAGCCAAAACCTTACGTCCCAAATCCTTGAAATCAAAATCGCATTTGTGTTCTTCCGGGTAGCGATGACGCCCACAAAACGTTCCTCCACAGCGGCACCCAAAGCTCATCAACCCAACCTTCTTCTTGCAGCAAAAGCACCTGTTACTCTTCGCCGGCGCCGGCGCAGACTCGGCGGCCAAATCGGCATTTGCAGTTGAATCCTTCAGCGTTTTGCATGGCGATGACGTGAGAGTAACGACGGCGGCCGACTTGGCAATCTCTTCTTTCAGATAGTCGGCGTAGCACTTGGAACAGAGGAACTTGTTTTCCGGGTGGCCGAAGAAGCCGCAGCCGCGGGCACATTTCCGGGGACTTGTCGGCTGGGAAATTTGTGATTGTGATTCCGACATGTTTGATCGATGATCTCCTTCAATTCCTCTTAAATCTCTCTACGAATTATTGAAGAATGTTTGTTTGGAGGTTTTGAGGGTAGCTATGCTTTGGTATATATATATAAACTGAAATATTAATCTCCCAGAACTAGAAGTATGATTATTATAGGAACCCTAGTCTGGTTCGAAATCGTACAGGCAGCTGTCTTAATATGGAGCTTATATAGGTTTCCCATATTGGGTAGAAGTAGGATTACTGTTTGGATATATAATTTTTTAGAATCGGAATATATATATAGATACAAATAAATAAATAAATAAATAATCACTAAAAAAAGAAAGTATGTTGAATTTAATTAAGAAAAAGAAAAGGGGAAAAGAATTAATAGTGAAATCCAAGGGCGATTATGACTGATGAGGGAGATGAATTTATGAGGATAATTATATGGTATTTGATTTTCAATCATTAATGTGTACCAAATAATAATAATAACAACAAGAATAATAAAAGAGCTCAAGGGTTAACCTACCAAATTTTTTGACCATCGAACAAATTAAAGTAGGACTGTAGGAGTTAATAATTGATGAGAAACGAGTCACCACTTGCAATTAAATGTTATATCAATGATGAGAGCAACTTCAGTCAAGTTGGTTAATAATTAGTTTGATAACTATAAAGTTCTAAAAATAGACCCCCCGTGGAAGCTGTTTATTGGTCTGCGTAATTTGAATCGGTTAATTATGGACAATCTAGACTGATTTATGTTATTGTGATCCTTTTTTTCGACTAAGATCCCAAGGCGGGTTTCACTAAAGTAAAGATGTCAAACAAACGAGTTAGCCCGAAATCCAATCCAAGCCCGACCTGTTTGGTCCAAGCCAATCCATTGATCCGTACATTTTTTAAAAAAGATATAATATGAAATTATGAACGTCTGTTAACAGACGATGTTTGGACATATATATATATATATATATATATATATATATATATATATATATATATATTTAATATCTTTTCTATTTTTCATTTTTAGGCTATGAATCAGGCTTAATTTTTATTTTTATTTTTTGAACCAGACTAATCCAGTCTCAAAAATAAACATGCATATGGCAAGCCGGCAAATTTTACTATTATCCATAAAATAAGTATCATTTTAATTTCCCTATAGTTTCATTTGATAATGTTACTTTGTTTTTCAGTTTCATTTTGCATACTCACTAGTTTCATTATAACAATACCAAAGTATCATTTTTATTCTACTACAATTTCATTTAACAATATACATTATTGTATGAGCTCTATTTTGTTGTTTCATTTTTCACACACTAGTTTAATTATAATAATGTTAAAGTATTGTTTTAATTACTCTCCACGTTCATTTGACAATATATGTTATTGTATGGTTCTGAATTTTAGTTTCATTTTCCACAAACACTAATTTCATTTTAACACATTAAAATATCATTTTAATTATACTACATTTTCATTTGACAATATGTTATTATGAGCTCTGTTTTTTAGTTTCATTTTTCACACACACTAGTTTCAATTTAACAACACTAAAGTATCATTTTAATTCTATTACAGTTTCATTTTACAACCATGGTCCACATAACACTATGAACCATGGTCCACTGTATAACAACTGTGGCAAGCCAATTCAGGCCGGCCCAAGCCCGTCAACCGCCCATTTGACACCTCTATCCAAAGCACACATTTGGATAGCAACGATAGACTTTCACATATATCAATGATAACAATTCAATCAATTCAATGTGAATCCTTGGGTAGAGATAATTGTAATTTGACAAAGTATGTAGTTTATTTCTAGTATAATAAAATGTACACTGAGACATGAAGCTGCTGTTTGATACTCATCCATAAATCATAAAAAGCAAAATTGAAAATGTGTCCTAAAAAGTAGAAAATTAAGTTTTAAAAAACAAATAAAAATAAAAGATGATCAAGTAAATTGGCCTACTACTTCCTCTGACAGTAAGTTGCATAGTCCATATGTAGACTGTAAGATAGTACAGTTTTGACTACCTCACTTCAAAACTTTTAAGTTAGATCAATGAAGTAATTTAAAAGAAAAAAGAATAAATTATATGTACGTTTTTCGGAGGATATGAGATACACCCTGCTATTATTGATGAGGGAAAAACGAATAATATTAATAACAATAAACCTACACAAACTAAATTTACCTGCCCAGATGTCCTAGCTTGTTTGTCTCTGTTGAAAAAGATGAGTGTTTTTCTATGCCAAAACTTCCTCCAAGATGCGATTATGGCTAAACTGCAGCTCATTTTTGGAAGCCGGTATCCTGCGATTGCATCTTTTTGAAGGATGCAGTGCTCAAAAGAGTTTTGTCAATTCAGAATCGCTATGTGTTTAATGTGAAGCTCTGATCTCTCAGATGTAAGATATTGCTCCTGTTGTCAATCCGAAAGCATCTCGTCAAACTCAGATTCCTCGGACATTAAGCTTTCATTTAAGTCTTCTTCCTGCTCTACTTCAGGCATTTCCACTAGATCATCAACATTTTGGTCATCGTCTTCCTTTTCTGACTGTATATTCCCCCCATCACTGGTTTCTTGGGGACCCAATTCCAATTTTTCTTTGCCATCAGACACCCTGCAAATGCAGGGTGAAGGGTATTCATGAAAACCCCTACCAGACTTTACCTCCACGGGATCCCCCATGAAGCCTCTCTGAAAATTATTAACTTGGGATGAAAATTCTTCCCATGTCATGTTATCCCGGCCTAAAAACAGACGCCACAATTTCTTGGCATTTGGCCGAATTGTAGGTTTGTGTCCAAAGTATCTCCTGCAGTCGAGAGAGAAAAAAGAAGAAAAAAAACAAATTGGCCAAGCTTCTTTTAGCAACTTATGACTTAAATAAGATCATAATATCGCAAATTTAATATGAAGTGTTTATGGCCTGTGGTTTAGTCACTAACTCAAAGTATTAAATTGCGTAACTCAAGTGATGTAAAGGCTACATGCCTCGTGATTTATAAATAGAAGCTTTGTCAAAGACCCACTTTTTTTTTTGAAAACGTCAAAGACCCACTTAATTTCTCATTTTGGAACTATAGAATACTCCAGCTGTCGGAAAATAGTTGGCCACTACAAAGTTTATTTGGTCAATTTGACAAAATTTTGAATTTTCAGCAATGATAGATATATAAATTTAATTTCTTATATTATTTAACTACAATAAAAGTACTTTTGACTTGGAAACCAAAATCTAAAAACTTCACAAATATATATTTGAAAAAGTCAATCAAAGATAACTTTAGACGGTCAATGTGAAGTGAAAAGGATCAGTACAAATGGGAGGGAGTACCAAAATAAGTAGCAACATACCTTCGTCCTGATAAAATTTTTGCCATGTTTCCATTGTTGTTGGTAACAAAAACATCACTAGCATCACAAACTATGAAGTCTAGTGCAGCCATGCGGGCAGAAAATCCAGAAAATGGTTGTAGTTCTTCAGTGGTGGCTAGAGTTTCCTTTGTATGGAAGTTTGGAAAGAGTTCCTTCAAAGGACCCAATGTGTCACCTCCTCCATATATTTCACCGGATGCGACATAGATATGAACTTCATTGCCATATCCAAGTGCTCTCAACATCAAACCTACTTCTTCAGGAGTTAGAGGGCATCTTCCTTGCCTCCTCCCCTTATCTGGATTGCTCCTCTGCAAAATGAATTTAGTATAACACCTCATCTCTATCAAAATTGGATATAAAATGCGAACAGGAGATAAGGTTAGGTCAAAAAGTCACTTGTCATTTGTCCTAGTAGCAGTGGCTTCTGTAAGTACTACATTCCCATTTTATGCATTGAAGACAATACAGGTCATGAAATGATGGATATGGAGCATGACTGCTGACACCTTAATCTTGTTGTAGTTAGCATTGTATAATAATATTAATAGACTGTACCATTTAAAGTGATGGAAGGAAGTTTCAGTCTAAAAATCTTTTGAAGCCTTGGTACATAGATCATCTTATGTCATAGAGAAGTAACATGAAATGAAAAGAGAAGTGAAAATACTCCCGGAGAAACTGACAGTTAGAATTTCTTTATCAAGTCATACTAAAATTTTATGATCAAGTTTATTCGGCATTAAAAATTAGAAATGGTATCATCTAGAAATTGAGAAAATAGTTGGGCTTACATGTAGAGTTTTCCACCTCTTCCTTATTTTCCCAAATTCCATCCTCTCCTCGTCTCCTCCACCATAATAGCATCCTGAGAATGCAAGCATATCAGGTTCAAACCTGTTGAATAAAAAAGTATACAGTATCAGCATGCTTTCTTATCCCTTATCTTCTTTTGGGTAGATCATCAACATCATACTGAAGCTATTACTATTTCAAAAATACTCCCAGGCCTCTAATCTGATATGTGCATCAACCAAAACCAAATAAGAAAAAGAGGCTTTTAATAATTAAAATTAATTGAAGTTGTAGGTTAACAGTTTTGCTCATTTGTGCCTAATAGATTATGAAACCATCAGATGCCCTTAACTTCATCTCATCATCTTCCATCTTCACATGCATATATATGGAGTACCCTATTATGTATAGTAGTAACGAATTCTATTAAGTACCTCACAAGTTGTAGTAATTGGGCACCACTCAATTTTAGAAAATGATTTATATTGATAAGTACACTCCCACTAATCCAAAATCCCACATCACTGGGGAAAAGCAAAAGAAGTAAAATATTTAAGCACAAAGAAGCAGTGAAGACAAACCTTAGGTGAAGTGCTATATAATGCTTGCTCTTCATCCTCATTCTCTGGACCAATTCCTTACCCATTTTACGTATAGGGTCAACAAACTTCAGAGCATGATAATTAACTCTGCATCTCAGTTTTTGCAACTCTGTATCCAATGAACTCGAAAGTCTGTAGTCAAACTTGGGGATCCTAACAGCCTGTAACAAAAACATATTGCTTATACATGTTCTTGACAAGACCTTACTATGTGAATGTAAAACACAATTAATCACCCTCTTTCTCTTTTCATGCAGCAACAGCTTAATAACAACTGAACTAAGGGACTATTTTACACAGCCAGCAAACATGACATCCAGACATCAATTGCATATTTTTGGGATGAGGCTTAGAAGCTCTTAGATCTAGATCAAGTCTCCAGGTAATTACAGTGGAGAGATTTAGCAAACCAATTGGTAGAATTATAGTTAATTTGATTTGATTACACAGGGAGAAAAAACAGATCTCCTAGAAGCCAAACCACCAAAAAGAGAGTGAGAATGAAAACAAAATCAAAAAGAGATTGTGCTTTAGCTTCAGAATCTCTGAGGCAATTATTACTCCCATTGCTTTACCATCCTAAAGGTAGCAGATTTAAAATACACATTCATAGTAGCATATTTCCAGTTACAGCAGCATAACAATGTCAATGTTCAAGTTCTTCAAGCACCACTCTTGATTTAACCAGCATACTTGATTTTATTGGTGGCAGAATAAGAATCAGGAACCAATTTCATGAAGTTCTTCCAAATACATTACTTTTCAAGAAAGAAAAACATATTTCAATGCCATTTTGCCTAAAATTTATCACATAATGCATCATGAGAATCCCTTACAATAGCAGGCAACTGGCAAAGGAATGCATACCTTGTCATCATAACAAACATTCCATATCCAAACAAAATATGGGAAAATAATAATAATCCTTAATAGTATAGATCTATATGCATCCATAACATCAGATGAAGAAACACTCTACTGTTATCCATAAAATGTTTAATAAAATTATGAATTATAAATCAGTTCATGGTAATCTATACCAGTTCATGGTAATTACTAATTACAGTTGCAGCGTCTTACAATAACTTGTGTCTACTATAAATCAGTGGAAAACTTACATGCTTTTTATTAAGTATGGGCACAAAGCGGTTAATATAGTATTTCTCGCTGCATTTCCTTGGAACTCGTACATTATTTGGAATCCATGTCTTTCCTCTCCTAAGTGGGAGCTCTTTTATGATTACAACATCATTTGCAAGATAAGATATGAACCGATCAACATCAAATATGTCCGGAAAATCACTGCAAAAGAAAGCACATGTAGTTGATGCCTTTTCTGAATTACATGCAGGAGTTGCAAACTCATGGACTTAAGTTTATTTACATATAAATTTATCCCTGATAAAGAACTAGTGAGCAGTGCACCCTGTGCACATGTAAAAAAACATTCTCCAAACTTGCCTGGAATCTTTCCAGAAGGAATTCTTGTCCAGTGCTGGAACAACAAGAGTAGCATTCAAAATACGAGCAACAGCAACAGCATCAACTATCTGCCATGTGGAGGACAACATAGTCCACAATGTAAAATATTTAACCAATGAACATCATTCTTTCTACCCAAAGTTCAAGCCAGCAAGAATTTCAATATATTTGTATTGAAGGAGCAATTTTCATAATGTCATATTTTAGCAAAGCACCCAATATATGTTTGTGTGTGTCTGTGTCTGTGTCTGTGTAATACATATATATATCCAGGTTAAGTCACAGAAGATAAGATCCAACTCATTTCTCTTCTTCTATTCTTTTTCTTTTTGTACAAAATACAGAGCTAAATACCTATATTCCAACACACAAATTTTACGACTTTGATGAACAAAGTCAACAAACATTCACTGAAAAATAATTACGGAGTACTTCAAAAGCAATGACCATTAAATTGATTAACCTGACTCGAAATGGTAATGAGCATTTGGCAAATGAATGATACAGAAAGCATGGTCGACCTGAATCCAATACATTATTTTCCAAAGTAGGTGATAGGAGTCTATACTAAATTTTGGTGATCAGTAAATGTCAAATTATTCATTAATATTAGGTTAAACACCTTGAAACAAAAACCTCCCCTTGAGCATATATTTATAGCAACTATCCATAAATAAATAAATGGATTTAAGATAATGATGAAATTTAACAACAGTAGACTCATGCAACCAGTCATATCACATTTCTTCCATTACTTTCTCTTTTGGCATTGAATTCCATAACTATTGCCCAGAGGGGAAAAAAATGAAATAAATAAAATAAAAATTACCCCTGTCCTCTGTTGGTTAAGACCTCCACTGGTTGCAATTGACAAGTACCAAGTTGGATTTGTTCTAGTTTTAGCATCTGTGATTTAGTCCAAAAAAGGAAAAAAGATCCAGTATTAATGAAATCCAATATTAGCAAAATGATCACAAGTACTAGATGCAATCAATTATAACCCATAGATTAAAATGTTCCAATATATCCAACAGAAATTTACTTACTAGTTTAAAACAATATTCAATTATTAAGAAAAAAACAATTGACTTCCACCAAAACGTCCAGTTAGCAAGAAAGGAAAGAAAATCTTAACAAAGGGGTTGGGGTGTACAAATGAAGAAGGCAAGAAGCTGAGTTATGAGCCTTATTCAAGCTTGACGCACTTGCAAATTTACTACTGGCATTACTACATCCATAGAAAAACTTTGCATTGTTTGACTTCCAAAGATCACGATCATGAATTCCTCCACTGGTCTAGATCACAAAAATTAAAACACCAGATTTATAACATAAAAATTGCAAAGATAAAGTTGAGCAAAAGAGAAAACTTCGAATTAAACCCTAACCGGAATATGAAACGCCGGAACTCCTGACACATTACTACCGCCTTCCTCCACCTGAAAACCAAAGTTGAATAAAACTCAAATATATGTGTCCACACACACCACGATTCTAAAGAGAAGTAGAAAAGTAGGTTGAATAATGTACCGATATGTCACGGCGGCGGTAATGGAACCGATTGCTATCGGTGAGAGGAGGTGCAAGGAATGCAAGGAAGAGGAACAGGAGGAGAAGGATGATAGAGACGACAAATATGACAGGGATTAGAGACCTTGAGCGGTGGTGCAGGTGACGCCGCCGTTGCAACGACATGTGGAATTGGTGGCGGAGTTGGCCGTCCTACTCGCTTCCGTTGTCCTCGGGCGAAGAGATTTTACAGAGAGAAAAGAATCGGCGGGAGCCCGATTCGTTCTGCGGAGGTTAAAAAAAAAAAAAAAAGCGTAACGGCGTCTCGGCGTTTCTTCTAGCCGGAAAGGATCAAACGATACCGGCGACAACTCTATTCTCCGGCGGGCTCCCGGTCTGCTAGCATGTTCAGTTTTTCGCTTCTTTTATTATTTTCACTTCGTACGGAGCACATTAAAAATGGAAAAAAACAACAACAAAGATGTTTGAGATCTTGATTTATTAAATAAATAAATAAATGAGTTAATAAGGGGGAATTTTCAAAAAAAAAAAAGAGTTAATAAGGGGGAGAAGAATGAATGATAAAGGTCTTAATAACCAGAAGAAGAATGAATCATTTCAAATGCGACCAAGGTTGATCAATTTTCATTAGGACCTTGTTTCTATTAATTAACTAACAAAACTTTTAACAAATGAATAACTTATGTAAAATTATAAAAAAAATAAAAGCCGATGACTAAATTGAACACAAAAAGTCATTTAAAACTAAATTAAGTAAAATCACTATAGTCGATAAGTATATTAGGTATTAATTCATCCTTTATATATTATATAATAAAGCTATATGGTTTGGAAAATAATTAATGTTACAATTAATGCCACAATATCCTTTATTATTTAAAAAAAAAACACACAACATTTAAAAAATAAAATAGCTATATATTATATAATCATATAAAAAATATACTTTTGAAAAATAAAATAGCTATATATTATATAGTCATATAAAAAATGTGTTCAATTTGAGTTAAAATTTACACATACAAAATTTAAAATTTACTTTCCAAATGTAATTATCTTAGTTATTATTCGTATTGTGAAAATTATAATATAGATGAAATACAATTAAGAATAAATCAATGTAATTATGTAAATTCTCTCTATAAGTTTATTTGAATATGCACATAATTAGAGATTATATTAACCATACAAAATTATAATTTTAATATTAATTTTAATTTTAATTGTAATTTTGTATTCTATAAAAATAATAAATACTTGACCAATGAAAACTCAAAAATATTATTATATTAAATAATTTAAAATATTTTAGTTTTTCTATTTTTTATTTATATTTATAATAACATAATTTTTTCCTGTGCATAGCGCGGGTGAATTACTAGTAAATAAATAAAAGCAAAACAATAATGTTCAAAACAATTTATTACAAGCAAAATATCTTATGAAGCCATTGCATATTGAAATTTTCATAAGTATTAACTATTTTGTTTTAAACCACCATTGTTCTTTACGATCTCCACCATCGGAGTTTGATAATATGAACACCCATTTAGTATTACACGTTTTTACATGAGTAACTATTCAATCTATAAATATTATTCCGTACATAAGTATTACATTTCTCATTCTAAATAACAAACACTTTATCATTAATTAGTGTTACATTTTCAAGCATAAAGTATTACATTTTTCACATTGACTCGACCAGTCTCACGAATAAAACTCTTAAACTTGATTAACATTTTAAACTTTTGATAATTTATAATAGTTTCAATTAGTAATTTTTAAATTGTTTTTTTTTTTTTGAAAACTTAATTTTTAAATTGTTAAATGACAATGACAACGACTAATTGTTCATAATGTTAGGCGTATTACTTTAATAATAACAATATTATAATTAAAAGATAAAAGATGTATATATAAAATATAAAAGTGATTATAATAGCAATAATTGTTTTAAATTTGTTTTTTTCTCAAAAGTTCACCATACTACAAGTTTTTTTCTACAAGTTGTTAGGCCATGAATCTTAAAGGCCCATGTATCCGAATAATATAATAGGCCCAAACTTTTATCACTCACTGAAGTGTCAAGACTCAACTCCCCCTAAAAGCTCTTCCTAGATTATCGCTTATGGTTATGGAGATAGAAGAAGAAGGGTTTTAGCCGGCAACAAAGAACAAATAATTCTCTATAAATTCCAAGCAATTTTGAAAATGTCTTCGTTAACGTTGAAGCCATTCTTCCTATTACAATCTCGACGTTCTTCGTCTTCGTCTTCCTCGACTTCTTCATCACCTCCGGCTCTCGTTTCGTGCCGGAAAACTCCACTCTTTCCTTCGACTAGCATCTCCGGGAGAACCAGTGGCCGGGGAGGGTTCGTTGTCAGAGCTCAATCTTTCGATAGCTCCGAGACTGACGGCAAGGACGCCGATAAAAACGATCCTAATGCCGCCGATTACAAACCTCCCAACGGCACTTTGGTACACATTCTCTACGTTTTGTGTCTACCGATTATTACATGTTTGTCGCATTTCCCCTGCGAGTTTGTTTTTCTTCTACAATGAGTAATTGATCAGGTTCAAAATCAATCGATAATTTAGTCGCATTGACTGCTTTAAAAAAATTAAAGGAGTTTGGCAATGGAGGGAGTAGTATTTGTATTTGTGTAAATGAATGTTGTAGTATCAGCAAATAGAAGTTTTGAATGCATGAATTACTAGTACTGAGTTTCGAAATGTAAATTTTGCAGCATAAGAACAGGAGGGATATTTTGCTGGAGTATGTCCAAAATGTGCAGCCTGATTTTATGGAACTCTTCATCAAAAGAGCGCCTCAACAGGTACTGTTAATGGTTGCACTAAACTGAAGATTTAGGCAATTCATGGCATATGCAATGATGCAAGTATGTCTTGTTGGAATTTCATATGGATAATGCATGTTTAGGTCAAGTTCAGAACTTCTTGTTTTCCTGTATTTCATCTATTTGTTGTAGCCAAAGAATGTAGGAAGAACTAAACTTTCTCCTGGTGATGCCATGAAAGGTAGTGGATGCGATGCGCCAAACAGTGACAAATATGATGGGAACACTGCCACCTCAATTTTTTGCAGTCACAGTAACCACTGTATGTGCCTGTGTTGTCAAGCTTTGCACCTTTTTTTAGTGGATTTTGATGTCTTTGCTTTATCATGGACATGCATTAGATTTAAGCCTGGCTCCTTATTAATTTTGAGTGTACATTGACTTCTCCTCAGGTTGCTGAAAATCTTGCTCAGCTTATGTATAGCGTTATGATGACAGGATATATGTTCCGAAATGCACAGTTCCGGTTGGAGATGCAACAAAGCTTGCAACTGGCTGCTCTTCCTAACCCTGAAACACAGGAGAAAACTGTGAGTTCTATTTTTATCATTTCATTTTCCCCTTTCTGATTATTTCATATTCAACTTTGATCCCGTGGCTATATTACTGCAGAAATTTTACAAAGTACAAACATTTATGAGCACACATATCATCTTCTCTGATATGATTTTAAAATATATATATATATATATATATATATATATATATATATATATATATATATATATATATATATATATATATATATATACTAGTTGATTGCATTACGCAGGGCAGAGCTAGAATTTTGAAAAGTGGGGACACTTAGAATCTGACTACTGTGGATACCTATTATTTAAATAGCATTTTCAACTAATTACTCTGTGATAGTTTATTAATAAAGGAAAAATTAAGTAAAAGATATTCTAACCTTCACAATAAAATAGGGACAAATACAAGAAACTTTTATATGTAGCATAGTATATAGATAGATAATGTGGTAGTACATGTACATCCTGTTATGATGGTTACTTTATTACTGTTACTGCTTACTCAACCTACAGCTTTTGTCACATGGCAGGGTAGCTTTTATTCTTAGCCAGTTTTAATTATTGGCTTTATATGCTGTTAAACCTGAGCTAAGACACCAGTACACCACCCACCTTAGCTGTGGCGGGAATAAAGAACCATGATGTCTTTCCCCAAGGTCAAAAGATTAGTTATAATCCACTTTTTGTTCTCATTATTTCCTCTATCCATTGCCTCGCGTTGCATTGTTAATGCTATGAGCTATTCCCATTTATTAATTCTTTAGATCTTTCAATCCCCAAATATCTCTCTTCTAGAATCTCATTCATCACTTATTTACAAGCAACTTAACACATACATTTATTAAAAAACTGATTCAAATTTAGGCATTTAGCAGTATTTATTTAAGTACTTAGGGCCATAAAGTTTGAATATTTTATTTGTCTCTCTCTAAACTCTAACTCCTGCTTGCATCCATAGAGCAACCTAACATAATTGAAGAACATTAAAGGGAATTTGGTCTACACAGGTCTAAGATGGTGGCATAATTCATTCCCTTGTTTATAATTCAATGTTTTATGTTCATATGCACAATGGCTTCAGGATGAATTTTTACTTTACAGTATTTGGATCTCAATTCTATCTATCAGCACTGTAAAAATCAAAGCACTGTTCAATTCAAAGTTATGGAGTCATGCACGATATATTCGTGATTTTGCAGAGCCTATTTCCTTTTATCACTGCTGATTATTTTTTCTTATGTTGATTTATGTTCTCAGTGTATCCTAGTTACTTGAATCACTGTTTCCATTTTCTTCTGTGACTCTGTCAGACCTTTTAAATATCTGATGGGGAATTGAAAACTCTTTATTATACAGGATTTACCTGATTATGCACCAGGTACACAGAAAAAGGTCACTGGTGAAGTTATTAGGTGGAATAACGTTTCTGGTCCTGAAAAAATAGATGCAGTGAAATACATTGAGTTACTTGAAGCAGAAGTTGAAGAATTGACTCGTCAAATAGAGAGGAAATCTGCTAATGGACAGAATGAATTGCTTGAATATCTAAAGACTCTTGAACCTCAAAACCTGAAGGTAAGAATGTTGACAATTCTTGATCTAGGGGGTATTTGAGCATTCTAGTTCCTGATCTTGCATATCATTGATCTTAAGACAATCTATTCAGTACCTTTGGTTTATCTTTTGTCAGGCAGTTCCTTCATTTGTAATTGGTATGACTACCATACGAATGCCTATATTCCGTTCTCTTTTGTGTTGAAAAACGTCCTGAAAGCTTGTTAGTTCCATTTGCTAAGCACTCTGGTATGGATATATTATTATGCAGGAGCTAACTAGTACTGCCGGTGAAGATGTTGTGCTAGCGATGAACACATTTATAAAACGCCTCTTAGTAGTTTCAGATCCTAGTCAGATGAAGGTACAAACCTGCTTCACAGAACTACTACCTTTTTAAATTCTTGTTACTTGAACTCAAGATTAACCCATTGCAACTTATCTATTGTTTTGGTTGAGAGGTGCGACTTTCAGCTGTCAGCATGCCCTAATCTATAAACTCATTGACTGGGGACTAGACATTTAGAGATTTTTAATTTAATTTATTTCTTTTAATGGGCTGCAGACGAGTGTAACAGAGACGAGTGTTCCAGAACTTGCAAAGCTCCTTTACTGGCTCATGGTAGTTGGTTATAGCATTCGCAACATTGAAGTCCGCTTTGATATGGAACGGGTGCTTGGCACTCCACCAAAGCTTGCAGAGCTACCTCCTGGTGAAAATATTTAGCTGCCCACACGAGTTTCTACACAGAGTCTTTGGTTTTTGTTGGTGCAAGATTTATAATACCATTAAAAGAAAATAGTCTTTATGGTGAGTTTTAGAATGCTGTTTCACATGTTTTTCACTCTTAGAACAGCTTGCCCAGAAGTTAAAGACGTTCCCACAGGAGTAACACTTCTCCCTATTGTTTTTATTTTCATTACTCTTGTATGCTAAAGCTGCACTCATAGTTTGCTGCTTGATATTGGAACACAATTTGGATAAAATTTATGGAAATTATCTGTATTTCTATTTTTGTACGTGAAATGATAGTAGCGATTACTGACAAGGGAAAACAATATTATGAATCTAATCTCACTAGGAACCAAATTTCATCATAAATGGTGAACACAAGGACAACAAATTCAATAAGGTACACCCAAAAAAAAAAATGTATCCAATTAAGGCAGGAGCCTTTTACCCCAATAATACTTATAGAATACATAGATAAATAGAAGCGTATGCAAAATTTTTGGCTATACACATATCTAGCAAAAACAAGGCATTTGGCACTTGGTTGCATGTAGCTTCTTGCCATCGGACACAATGAATAGCCTATTCTGAACCAGAGCTTCATTCCCATTAATTAGCATAAAGAAACAAGAATGCCAACCCTCCCCGATCCCAGATGGAACCGCTTTAAAAGCTAAGCGCCAATTGGGTACCACTGGTTCGGCCAGCGGGGGTATGCACGTTTGAACAAACTCATGCATACAGTGTCGTGCTGCTGGAGGACTCCATTGAAAACGCACTTCATTGCCCCTGAGAGTCAGATAAAAAAAAAAAAAAGTTCTTGGCGTTCTATTTTTTTCAATCAACTACTTTAAACTTTTTGAAAGGCAAAGATTACACAAATATTTAAACTTGTTACTAATAATAACTTCAGTTTAGAGTAAGGAGGCATACCATGTGTGCCAAGAGGTTCCCTAATACGACCACGGCGACCACACTTTGTCCAAACCTCAACAGGCTGCAGGAAACATATTATCAAGCATAAATTCATAAAACTTGAAAGCAGTTATACCTCAATATCAAGCATATTATATCAAACAAACTCCTTTACCTTGAACCATCTCACATCATCGGGACTGTGAAACATGTATCTAACAGAGGCTCTCATTTTTGACACTCTTTGAGGGTAACTGCATCACAGACATTAAGTGCATTGTGAAAACCGGGTTTTAAAATATCTATAATTGTCTCTCAAATGAGATTTTCTAATAATTTTGTCTCCTCTAGTTATTTACGCTTCATATTTTTTGTCAACGAAGGCAGAAATAATAGTTGCATACAGAGACTACAAAAAGAGAGAAATTTTACCCAGTCAAAATAATTTTCTTCAGAATAATTCTATTAGGGTCAATACTTCTCAAGGAACCAACAGCGGCAACAGCCAATGAAGTAGATTCTCCATCAGTCTTGAGAGCAATCAATGGAAGTGGGGGAAATGAAATTGGAGCATAGATCGAAGCAATTGAAAAGCGCCCAGCATGAAGAAACCTCTCCATTTTGTGTTTGTCAGAGTTGATATTATCTGAAGAAAATATCGGCCTGCAACCAACAGAAATTTTGCAGTAAGAATTTACTTTAACTATACATAATAGCAAAAAATCTACCCAGTCTGTTACCCATGACATTCTAAGAAAAATATACCTTGCCACAAACTGGCGAAACCCAACATGAAACAACATTTCTTCTTTTGCTTTGATAGGAGCACTGTATGACTCGTGCTTTTTTATGCTGTAAAGACAGACAATAGTAATTAGAAATGTATATTTCCAAAGATATAAACATATAACAGTAGGTGCTACATCATAGAAAGGCAAAGACAAGAAAACAATGAAATAAAAATGTAATTCAACACAGACCTGAAGTGAAGGACAGAAACTTTGGACTCATGTTGCAAGAGACCACACGAGATTACAGGCATGGTCTTCACTAGCATACATAGCTTGTTTGCAGCACCAATAGGCACATCACAGATATGTAGCCTTGCATATGAGCCTGCTGCTACACATTCTGAAACATCTTTTTGTTCCAAATCTTGAGCCTTAGCCATCACAAGCTTTTGTGTCCTAGTGAAATTATCAAATGCAAATATTCTAGCATACTCTGGAGGTAGAGATTCCTGAAAGCATACCCATAATATTTGAAATTGTCAGATATCATACGAAATCATTAAAAGAAAAATACAGAAGATATGTTCCGTTAGAGCAAGTACTTTGGGATCCCATGAAGAAGTTCTGAAAGACTTCAGGCCTCTGTATTTGGTGAAACGTTTCCTAGCAGGAACATCCAATGGAGTATCCACTTCATCAGGGTACTCTGGTGTGAAAAAGTAAACCATCAGACACTGATTTCATCAATTAATTTCCACATGAACAAAAATACAGAAAAGCAGACAAAAAGATAGAATAGATGAACTTAAAGAATGAAATCAACAGAATTTGAGAATGTTATATATCTGCAATAAGATCAAATATGTTTCAGTAAAAATGAAATATCAATATCATATGATTAAATTAATAAAACCATAACCAAGTATAAGCGAAAAAAAGGTGAGATTAGTTCATTCCATGCATATTACAACAAATATAAAACTTCAGTTATTTCACAACTAAGTGTATTAGGGCTAGTTAGAATAAATAACAGAACCTAAGTAAGTTTTATGGTATGGAAAACTAGATTCCAAAGCTCAAGCTCAAAGTTGATGCAATTTATGCAAAGATGGAATGTTTTGAATTTTGCATAACTTACCTGAACGCTTTGGTAAGTATCCTATTCTTTATTTTCACATTTAAAGCTCAAGTTCTAATTTGTACTGTTTAGTGAAATCAAGTATCACCAAAAGTCTATATATATATATATATATATATATATATATATATATATATATATATATATATATATATATATATATTCACAAATGGCTACTGGTTAACTAGATAAGTCTGGAAGTGTCTCAATAGTAGCGCAAACTACCTGTCAGAGAGAATTTTCCTTAAAGTTAGGAACTTGGGAAGTTTGTGGAAGTATTTTTCATCAGAACTCAAGCAACAGAAATTTTCAAGAAAATTCATTTTTGTTTGAGTTGTGATATGCACTTCTTCCAATGGGTATGATATGCAGGGTTTCCTCTAGGAATGATTTCTAAAACTTTTAACTTTTAGTTTCTGCATCTACTCCCACATTTAACAACCCTAAAGCTTGATGTTCACGACAGCAGTTTGGAACCCATAATAATAAAGAACCTACAAACCTCATCAGACTCTTGTATCTTGTGTCATAAAATAACCAACCATTCTGTACCCCAACCCTAAAGCTTACACAAGCCAATAATTCTCCACCTGTTTTACATTTAAAATAGCATATGTAACAACCCACGTTCAGAGCAATGCCAATCATACATTCATACATCATCTCTACGACTCGCCACTAAGAAGAACGCAGCAAATAATCATGGAAAAGCGATCAATGAAAAGCTTTTACTACCTTCATCCTCAGCATGGGATTCTTTAATTTTCTTAATCTCATCCTCAATTTGCTCCTTAGTCAACTTCTCACTCTCCTATAAAACAATGAAATAAAGCTTCCATATTCAGGAGCACTGAATTATGTAACCAATGAATTTAAGGCTGGTTTGATCAGTATATAATTTATTACTTGGTAGTTCTTTTCTCAAATTCCTCCCAACTTCCAGAAATTTTTTTATATGGGTAGACATTTTCATTTTTGTGTGCAGGAAATTTATCATATAGAATCAATATTAAGTATTATGTGAGTATGTGACTGAATCAACACGTTGTAACTACTCACCATCATCACAGAATCTGTATCTGTTTCTTCATCGGAGTTTAGTGAAAGGGAACCCTGATCCTCATCAAGAGCAAAGCAATCCCCATGTCCTTGTCTGGGAATAACATCTTCACCATTATCAAGTACCATACCATCATCTCCATCTTCATTCTCCTCACTCTCTGAATCGTCAACATCAGAGTCATCGACAATCCAAGCAGCCTAAAATTAATATTCCATGTCATTTCTCACCATCAGCGATATGCATTCATATTGTATGTAGTATGAATAAGTGAATATCAACATTGAATGCCACAAACCTGGTAATCAGAAGTTCCTCGAGGAAGCATCTTATTTTTCAACTTCTTTTCCTTGTGATTTCTTTCGGCTTCAGCCATTTCCTCCTCTGTTGGCCATGTCTGATTAAAATAAATCAGATCAACAATACTATGAAATTCCCAAAATCTGATAACAATTAATTCAGCAGCAGGTTTAAGTCTAAAGCATTTGAACCAGAGAAACTATACTGTGTCATCCTTTTAAACTTAGTCACAACTCACAAGGCAACAAGAATCCCATTTATTTGGACATACCTGCTCTCCAGCCAATGGATCAGGTACATTTTCGATAAGTAAATGCTCTTGCTTCAGAGGGTCAGGAGTCAGGCAACTGATCACCTGCAATACATTAGTAAAAACAGTTAAGTACATGAGAAATTACACACCACTATGAAGCTAAGAATGAATATATCCATATTGAAACTCAATCTAATTATCTAAATCAAAAGTTCCAGATGCTATAGCACTATCTCTAATATCCACTATTAAATCGGCGATATAAGCTCTAATATTGGAATAGACATGCAACATTCATGCTTGTCTGGCCCAGCTTATTTTGGTGCTTATATGTTCCAAACGGTAGAAGCTGGACCAAGCAATACTTGAAAATAGAATTTTAAAGACACCTGTTGATCTTGTATTTGTATCCAAAAATCTGCAATTTTATAATATCAACAATACTTGAAAAGAGAATAATAAACCAACGATGTTCGTGGGGAAGAAGATATTCCTCCAGTAACAAAGGATCCTATTTTCTTGTTTAGTGGTGGTGGTGTAGGGGGTTAGGATTGCTCAGTGGGAGGGGTTTCATGCAAGTAAAGAGCCGTACTTGTGCATTGGCTATGTCATCTGACTCCATCAAGTCGTCTCCTTTTCTTGCATTCAGGGAACATGGATCCTTAAGCAGTTCAATCTTCGAAAATTGAAAATCTCCAACACCTGAAATGTGAACCTGACACAGCCATATTTAATGTTAAATGCAGTATATTACCTATGTCAAGATGAATCATGTTAAATCCAATACTAACCAACTGATTGATAGAGAGACCACGAGCGCGAAC